AATGATGGAAAAAAATTAAACCCATTGGCAAAAAATTTTAAAACCCCCAACCCCCCCCCCCCCCCCCCGCTGTGGCCTTACCCTAGCTCCTGGAGTCCTAATCCACTGTTTGTCGGCTCATATCTTTGATTTATTAGCCTATTCACGGTCTCGTTTCCATCATGCAAAGTATCATCTAGACGCTATAATGGCAGATGCTGGTTTTGTCTGCAAGCAAAGGGAACCTGACGGCGCAGATCGGCTTTATTTTACAGTGTTGAAAGAGTTCAACTTTTGTTCAACCTTTCAGCGCATTGCTTTAAAAGCATTACGAGATATCTATAGGTTAAAGTCCATAAAAATCACTAGGTTTGTGGGGTACAACTCCCATGCATAGGGTCAGACTCACCAACTATTCAATACGATTCCAAGCTCAATAAAATCGATCCCAAGGATGGCATCATAGAACTTATTTTGATATTCGAATCCAAATGTTAAGATTGTGAGTCTTCAACGATGATTTTTTTTTTCTAAAAAAAAAAATGATTAGATTTACATTTGTTAGTTTTAAAATTGTAAGGGATTAGGGAAAACACTTAATAAGTGAAAACTTGAAATAGCTTGAAATAGATTGATATAGCCGAAATAGCTTGAATTAGCTTGAAGTAGTTTGAATAAGCTTGAAATAGCTTGAATTAGCTTGAAGTAGCTTGAAATAGCATGAAATAGGTTGAAATGGATTGAAATAGCTTAAATTAGCTTGAAATAGCTTGAAATAGGTACGAGAGAAATACGAATGGTGAGAGTGTGGAAAAAATAAAGCAAAGATTTCCTCCGTCCACTTTTTTTGTCGTTAGCACAGATTCCCTTTCGTCAATTCTTTTCACATCTCAGTTTTGTTACCCGCGAATGAAATAAAGGTAACAATCTAACAAATGTTTGATGGTAAACTGACCAGTGGCCCGCCTGTGGATCTGGTAGAAGCGAGATAGTTAAGCTTCTTACTCTCGCTTCGTTTCCGCTGTCTGGCGGGTGGGCCGGCTTTAGAGGGGGGTGACCCTTTATACGTCAGCTCTGAATGGCGATGGGTCAAAGGGAATAGAGGGACGTCATTCGCGACTTAGAGCGGGGGCTAGAGGCCAGCTAAGAGATAGTTAGGGGCACTAAGCAGCTGTATTAGAGGCTATATCAAGCTTCTTAAACGAGGCTCTTATCGAGTTAATTAAACGGTTTGGAGTTAGGAAAAAGGGAGGAGGGTGTGATTGTGGGATCTTGGACCCGAACGTAAAGCAGAGGGGAATTCCTTTGTGCATTCCATCGGGAAAACACGAAATGAAAGCGTGAAATGATGTGGGATTGTCACCCTTGATTTTATCTTTTTTTTGTCTGGTTGAAATCCAAATTTTTTGTTTATGGCATTAAGACATAAAAGCAACATTTTTGCTTTACGAAACAATTTATTTATTTGCCCCAATCGGAATCCATGAAAGATTAAAAATTGCCCCCAAAAAATAACAATAATAAAACTATAAAAAAATAGGGCGTTACAAATTGAAGCTATATGTGTATCGTAACTTATTTGATCGACATTTGTTGCAATGGATCACATATTGGTTTGACTTCACCATTTTGTCACTAAATTTTAGTGGATGGAGAAATAAATGTTAGCGACTAGTTTTAAGCTTTCAACATTTTTTTTTTTTACAAATGTATCAAATAAAATAGGAAGAGTCGACCTTGGCCTTGGCTTTTTTTTTTTTTTTTTTTTTTAATTCGAAATTTCGCACACTTATGTATACGTTTGTAGGATTTCTGACCCGGGGAGGTGGGGGGGGGGGTGGGGCTGTGTGATGTGCCGCCAGAGTTTCAAGGGCGTTATTTTAAGACATAGTTTAAATGTGGCACGTGAGGGAATTACCAAAGATTTATATTATTTCATTTTGAAAAAAAAAAAGCATGTTTTTTTAAGAACACTCGGGTTTTTTTGTTTTTTTGTTTGGTCATCGACTTCCTGGAAGACACATTTGAATACTTCCAGATATAAAGTTTTTTTTCAAGGGTGTGCTGCTCGGGGTCACGACGTTTTCTCAAAGCTCACAGGGGTGGTGTTGAGAGCCAGGGGTAATAATAGGAAGACAACTGGATCTGGGGCATTTCAACTACTGCCCTACAAACCCCCCCCCCACACACACATACAGACAAGAGCATAGAAACAAGCACAGACACACACACACACACACACCCACCCACACGCACAAGCACACACATTGCTACCAATGTCCGAACCTCTAACTCTGCACACTGATAGATGATTAAAAGTGTTTTCAAATCAAAATTAGGGCACTTGTATTTTAAAATTTTGAGGGAAATCCCGTAGGCTATTTCAAGCCAAGAATTATGATTTGTTCAAATACGATGTCACGTGTTACACTTTAATCTCGTTCCTATATGCGACAATGATTGCAATAACTAATAATTTCAGTTAAGACTGTGGTTCTCAACCTTCCTAATGCCTCGACTCTTTGATACAGTTCCTCATGTTGGGGTGACCCCAAACCACAAAATTATTTTAGTTGCTACTTCATAACTGTAGAGCAGATGTGTTTTTTTCCGACGGTCTTAGGCGACCCCGGTCAACCCCCAAAGGGGTTTCGACCCACAGGTTGAGAACTACTGAGTTAAGATTTCCGGATTTAACAGAAATTCTATTTCATAGGTTTTTCCACAGACAATAACTATTGTTATAAGTTTCCCGGATAAACCCTATTTCAGTGCTGGACAGGGTGTCCTAGACTTCATGGTTAAGAAATGTTTCTGTTCATTTCATTAGCGATAGGCCTGAGAATTATTACAGGTGGATCACATCCCTTGACAAGTGTGCTGAAAATATAGAATGACTTCAAGAGGCCATCTCAAGCCGACTGTACTCCGAGAGTGGGGGTTAGTTGGGGGGGGGAGGGGGTCTTCTAATAGTTACCAACAGGGTCAGGGGTCGGGGGCTTTTTGTTGGAGATCCAACACTCTTCAAGAGGCCATCTCAAGCCGACTGTACTCCGAGAGTGGGGGTTAGTTGGGGGGGGGAGGGGGTCTTCTAATAGTTACCAACAGGGTCAGGGGTCGGTGACTTTTTGTTGGAGATCCAACACATTTGTATAAATTATAACAGCTATCATAATAGTATGGGAGCCTCGAATATACTTCTTCTTGTCTTGTTTTCTCATGAAGGCTCTAGGCCGAAACGTCAAAATCTTTTGTCCTGTCTATGAATTTCAAGTTTGGCATAACCTTGTTCTTATATTCAGTTTACACGACTCGAATGCAATCTAACAATTATTAACAAGGGGTGGAATATTTTTTTTAAAAAATAAGCCGACCCTATTCTTTTAGAGGGCGCAGGTTGATGACTCCTTGGAACATGGTCCTGATAGACCTATCTAAATATATTAAGCTAAAAAAAAGAAAAAAACGTGCCTGTACTCTGGCTTCCAGCAGTCCTATCCTGTTGGCGATGTCCTCTCTCGTTGAACAGTCGGGGTACATGTTGACGTGAAACAGCTGCTCCAGCTGGATCAGCTGCTCGGGACTGAAGGTGGTGCGGTTTCGCCTCTGCTTTTTGCCCATGCCTTGAGAAAAAACAAGTATTTTTTTTAGGTTTTTGACAACGAAGTGGCTATTCGTACCCGGGTGCAAGAAGTGAGAGGTTGGGTTTAAAAAAACTATTTAACATTTTATTTTTGGGTTTGTAAGACCACATGAGGTATCAAATGAAAGATAATTGAAAGGACTATATGTTTGTAAACTTACTACTTGATTTTTAACTAAAATAAACTACCATAAATGACATCCGAATAGCCTGAGACTAATGGTACCCGGGTGCGAATGGCTGCGCTGCGTGTCTGGGTCCATTTTGACTCGGTGGTATTCGGATGTCATTTGTGGTAGTTTATTTTATTTAAACTGGAGAATTAAGTTTACAAACATATAGTTCATTCAATTATCTTTCATTTGATACCTCATTTTGTCTTACAAACCCAACAAAAAATTTTTACATCTTCTTTTAATCCCAACCTCACACTTCTAGTACCCGGGTACGAATAGTTTCAGTCTTTTGACAAATTTAAAGGCTAAAACATTAATACTACTTCTCAACCAAAAAAAAAACCTTTCCAAAAAATATACCCTTTAATAAGACCCCAAAACCTTTTCAAGGTCACGTTTTACACTTATCCTATACGCTTTATGACAATTGGAACATGTTAAAAAGAATAATTTCGAAGTCTTATGAGAACAATTATTGTTTAGGCATTGAGGGATATTGCCAATATTGCCTGGCAGTTCCTTATGTAACGAACTGACTAACACATACAGTAACAGCGATCGCAGGCGCTGTCTAATTGAACCAAAGATGTTGTTTTATTCAACTCTGACATGTCTCACATTCCATTGTGTACAATTGGACGTGAAAAATATTTTTTTGTGCTTTTTTTTTTTTTAAAGATCAGGTATGGTAAAAGGAAAATACAGACACGATAAAAACTCTATTTACCTGTATAAAAATCGTAGCCCTCACTGTCAGCATCAGAGAGTAAGCTGTCGTTATCTAGGCCATCACTGGTTCCATTTCCCTCGCGCCGGCCATTTTTACCAATGTTCTCATAGCTATCCTCGCCTCTGTTTCCGATTAGTTCAGCCTCATTGCCAGCATCAACTTTCAATTCAGATGGTTCACAACACCCGATGTTATCCATGACAAATTCTTGGTCATCTACGCCGTCGTCAATAAATTTCTCCGTTTCCTTGTAAACAGTTAAAGCTGCAGTGTCAGTGGCACGTACAGAAAGATCTGACTCTGATACACGTGTCACAGATTCCTGAGGTTTCACTTTAGCATTCACTTCTTCGGCTGAAACATGATTAGGTTTCGTCCGTCCATTCTGTAAGGAACGGTTGTAATAGCTGGAGGTGTTGCTGCACCCAAATTTTAGCTGTGGACATTCTTTCACAAGATTTTCATTGCTATCAGTTTCGCTTTCATTTCTTGTAGCGGCATTCAAAATAATACTAGCAGCTACAAAAAGTCCATTTCCGGTTTCCGAGCCCTGAGTTGACCGCCGTTTCGGGTGATTGATCGATGTTCGAGAGAGTACATCTTCTTGTGTGTCAGTGTCTTTCTGGCTGATATCAGAACTTCTGCTCACATTGGAAGTCTCATTAACAGCATGTAGTCTACGTCTGCAACGCAGCGCGCAGCATGCACAAAGCAAATGGCATGACTTGACATCACTGCACGATTTCACACCTTCTAAAGGAGTCTGGTCATCGAACAGACCATCAATTTTGGTTTGACCATTGGTCACTTTATCCACAGTATTCACAGTATCATAAGTCATATTATCTACTGTCGTTTTATGCGTCGCTACCCTGCCACTGATACTTTGAATCTGTTCATTTTTCTCCTTGAATGTTAACACCTCATTGAAACCCTCACGATTTGCTCCGCTGAATCTTCCACTATCCTCGATGACAGGACTGTCATGTGATCCCACCACATTATCCACGAGTCTGTCTTTGCTCAAATCCAAAGCCGGCGAGCATCCCGAGGAATGCGTTGTATCTCTCTGGTGTGGAATTTCGGAAGACTTCTTTAAAATTCCACCACAAGACTTGGAGTCATTTCCGGAGAAAAAAGTTTTTGACTCACTCGTCCAACCCGTTTGAGAGCGCACGGTGATGCAGTATTCAAACGGCCGGAAGAGTTTATCGCTGATTCTCCTGAAATCAGATGCCATTTTGTTCACGTGATCGTTTTTGTCTGCATTGGTGTTTGAATCTCGCCCACCTGAGGACGACGCTACAACACTGAAGTTTTCGCTGGGGTGTTCTAACTTATTCGAAATAGAAGCAGGCGCTTGACCTGTTGTCTTCTCTATAATTTCTGTGTCCATGCTAGATATATCATTGCGATCCATTAGTTCTGCTTGCTCTTGGTCATCGTCTGCATCTAGGATACGTTCCTTCGTGCATCCTTTCATGTTGACAATCTTTTAAAAAATAAAAATGTGATTTAAAAAATAAATATATTTCAATCATTTTTACGTATGTAGGCGACATGTTACAAAATAACGATAAACCATGTTCATGTCTATATATAGATTTGACCAATAAAACACGAAGTGGACGAAATGTTTTTTTTTTTTAAAACCATTGACCAAGTCGTCATGGTTGACATCAGATATTAAAAGTAGTTCAGTTACTCACGATTTTCGAATTGTGGTTTCCGATACTGATTTTTTTGGAAAGGTGAATTCTGAGTGCATTTAGTTGACTTTTAATTTTATTTTGTTTACGCCCTGACATGGGACATCCATTACTCTGGGCATGGTTGGCAACCTTAAATCCTAATAAAAATTAAGGGGTCATAAAAATGGAAGGAGGGTGTCAGGAACATGTGACGATGTGGGATCAAGTGTCTAACGAGTGTTTAAAAATTTTTAATTTAAAACAATAAATTTCGGGGGTGGGGGATGGTTAAATAGCATGACGAAATTTATGGATGACCCCTATCTTATGATTTATCTAGCAGTCGCTCATACAAAGTAAATTTATATACTTTTTTTTTTAAATCTAACTATTTTTTGAAATTTTAAACGTTTTTTTGCTTTTAAAATATTTATCATCGAAAAAATTCCATTTAACTTAAAAGATACATCAGTTAATAGTTAATGACCTACCTGGAATAATGCCGGTTTTAATCTCAAGACATTCAAAACATCGGAACAATTTTTTTTCTGTCTAAATCCAGAATAAAAGATAAATGTACACAATTTTTTTTGGGAACTCTTTGCTTTTCGGATCGTCCACTCGCTAGAATAATAAGTCCATGTTTCCGTCAGTCGTAGCAGGCGCTGTTAAGACATTTTCCCCTGTGTCGTTTAGGTGGTCCGTGTGGCAAGGGACGCATTGAAAAAGCCCTTCGCCACGGACCTGTCGGTTAGAGCTACCCTTCAACACTGGTGACCGTCGGACTTCACCGAGTAACAGGTCCCTCCTCTTACCAACCCGGGGTGGACAGGCCAGGTGTATTCGCGTGGGGCGGGGTCAAATTCTCAACAAAAAGGTCCCGGCTTTGATCCCATTGGTTCAAAAAGTCGCTTCATGCGATCACACTACTTGAAATAAGTGCCGTGTTGCATTAATTGTTGCTTAACTTAAACAAAGTGGCTATTCGCACCCGGGTACCAGAAGTGAGTGGTTGGGATTAAAAAACTATTTAAAATATTATTGCTGGGTTTGTAAGACAAAATGAGGTATCAAATGAAAGATAATTGAATGGACTATACCATATTATGTTTGTAAACTTACTTCATCAGTTTAACTAAAATAAACTAATACAAATGACATCCGAATAACAATTATTCAAAATGGCCCCGGACATGCAGCGCCGCCATTCGCACCCGGGTCCCATTAGACCAATGCTATTTATGGAATGTCTGAATAAACGACAGAAACCACAGAACATTTATTTACTGAACGTTGCTACAAGGTTGTTTTACTTGACATTTGCGACTACATTTGCTCGAGTTACATTCCACATTAGATACAAGACAGTTATTCTCGCGTAGAAGAGTTACTTTTTTTGTTTTTTCCGGCACCTGAAGATCTCAACGTACGTGGCCCTGAAATTTTTGTTTAACGCGACGTACACCACAAAGTTGCTGGAGCTGTTGATGCATCCAACAGTGTTCACGAGCTGATAGAATATCTTCCCGATGTTGGACGGACTCTCGTCCGTTAGAGAGTACGATGCGTACTGGGGTATGTACAACGGAAGTGACACCACGGCAGCGGTGACGCAGTAGACCGCGCAGACGGCCAGCAGCGTCCTCGTCGTACGGCTTCCGGTTTTGAGTTTCGTCGTCATTTTCTGACGCTTGAGCGACGTCATTTTTATCTTGACGGAGATGACGACGCAGCCAACGACGGTGAAGACAGGGGGGATGATCATGCTTGTGTAGATGAGGAGATCCTCAAAGGCGGCTACGACGTCAAGATGTTGTTCGAAGAACGCTGACTTTCTAATAATCCCTATAGAGACGTTCTTCGTTGTGTCAAATTCGTATCTTATTTCTTGCCAGAAGCTGGAATATAAAAAGATGGAGATCCAGTACAAGGCCAAGCCTGCCACAGCCGCCCACGTCCTGGCCGGGGTGATAATACGGCGGAAATTTAAGGGGAAGAAGATGACCACGAGACGCTCTACGGTTATCAGCATTGGAAGGGTTAGGCCCATCAGGCCGAACGAATAGTCCAAGAACATGAACGCGCTAAACGCGACGAATAAGATATCGGTCTCGAGTAGAGAGTAACCCACGTACTCGTGGTTCCAGACGGCCTCGTAGATGATCTTCGGGACGCCGTTGAACGAGACGAGAAACGTGATGTCGCAAAATGCAAGGGAGACCAGCAGAATGTTGGAGCACCTTCTCAGCCCTTGCCTCGCCAGGACGACGATGCTGAAAATGTTGCCCAGGACGCCGAACAGAGAGATGGCCGGCGCCACGCCGAACATGAGAACTTTCATGATGAGCCACGTTAACTGATCGTCCAAAAGCTCGACCCTGCTGGATGTAATCGATACGTTAGCCGATATCTCGTCTGCCATGTCGGTTGATGTTCTTCACTCCCCTTGTTCTCTCTTTCTGCAAACGAACCGACTTCTGTGTACGAACATATATTATTTTTTAAGGCCGGAGAGTTCAGTTGCAAAAAAAACAAAACAATTAAAGGTACAAAAAAAAACAACCAGTGATGATAAGGATGAAGAGACTAATTATTGAAATCAATATCAGATCGCGTCAATTTAGAGCGCCATTTTAAGATGAAATGATTATAACAATCTCATTTTTAATGTAAATCTGAGTTAATTATTGATCTTCACTGTGAGATTGGCAATGAAACGAACGAAAGGCTGTTATGAAAATTAAGTTATTACTTGCTTCGGTTAATGGTGTCTTTATTCTTTGTTAATAACAGCGTGCAGATACCAGACATTGGAATTATAGTCTCGGCAAATCTTAATTAAAGAAACGCTCGTGTCTAATGTGTCCATGACTAGCCTGCCATTCTATTTGTTTGGGATGCGCAAATATTGAAAAGTCATTACAACTTTAAAGATACCGCGATGAGAAGGTAAACGGTTATTATGCGCTAATCTTCGTCGATTAGCCGAGATGAGTTGATTTTGGCTAGAAATTTTGAGGTAAAAATGGGGTAAAATGGATTTATACACCCCCACCCCACCCCATTTTATGTTTTTAAATTTAAATTTATAAAGTTCTCATGTATAATACAATAAATCTGGTAATGCCTGATCAATCTATAATGATATACAACACGGATTTTAAATCTACGAAAACACACACATAAAAAGTAAAATTTAAACAATAAATACATGTATTATGAAATTTAAAGGCTACAATGGGAGCTACCTCAGTGCCTGAGATCTTGTACTACACCGGTGCCATAACATTGTTGTCCAGCGAGCACCTAATAATTGTAATACATAGCTTCCCAGAAGAGGACAAGAGAAATGTTGAAACTGCCATATCTTAAGAAAACGCCAGTAAAAGCACAAACACACGTGATGGGGAAAAACAAATGCCACAGAAAGGAACATGACATCACAGTGAACAGAAGGTCAACATGAAGACTTGCAAGAAAGTGTTAGCACCTAAAGGGTGCAATTGCCCCAACGGATGAGGAGGACCTCATGGGAATTCAACAACAGGATCCGCACAGCAAAGCGTGCTTTTGGAATGGCGGCATTCCTTTGGAGATTAATAGTCAGCTTCAGGCATACACATCAAGAGCATGGTGTTTAAAAGGTAAAGACTTGAGTGTTCTCCGTATATGGTTATGGAACATACAGCTGGAAGAACACGATTACACCATAAAGGGGGATAGAGGTTTAAATCATTTAATGTCAAATTGAGCCCAGCAGACACATCTTGCCTAAGTTATCTCTGTCTCCTCATCTTTCTTCCGCAACATCTTCCACCTCTCTAAAAGGAATGTGGCTCCATAACTTTGATGAAGTTTGCTATTTCTGAAAAGCCACTATCACAGATAACCATTCTACATATTACAGTTTTGTGAAATTAATGTGTCAATTAGTTTTATTCACATAAATTAGAGAACGAATTTAGACACAGCATTGCCAAACAAATTTAGACACAGTATTGACAAACAAATTTAAACACAGTATTTAAAAACAAAATTAGACACAATATTGCCTAACAAAATTAGACACAGTATTGTCTAACAAATTTAGACACAGTGTTGACAAACACATTTAGACACAGTATTGTCAAACAAATTTAGACACAGTATGGTCAAACAAATTAAGACAGAGTATTGTCAAACACATTTAGACACAGTATTGTCTAACAAATTTAGACACAGAATGGTCAAACAAATTTGGACACATTTTTGTCAAACAAATTTAGAAACAGTATTGTCATCAAAATTTAGACTCAGGATTGTCAACCAAATTTAGACACGGTATTGTCTAACTAATTTATACAAAATATGGTAAAAGAAATTCAGACACAGTATTGTGTAAAAAATTTAGACGAAGTATTGTCAACGAAATTTAGACACAGGATTGTCAACCAAATTCAGACATAATATTGTCTAACAAATTTAAACACATTATTGTCAAACAAATTTAGACACAGTATGGTAAAACAAATTTGGACACATTGACACATTATTGTCAAACAAATTTAGAAACTGTATTGTCAACAAAATTTAGACTCAGGATTGTCGACCCAATTTAAACACAATATTATCAGCCCAATTTAGACACAGTATTTTCTAACAAATTTAGCCACAGAATGGTCAAACAAATTTAGACAAAATATGTTAAAAGAAATTCAGACACAGTATTGTGTAAAAAATTTAGACAAATTATTGTCGAACAAATTTAGACACAGTATTGTCAACCAAATTTAGAAATAATATTGACTAACAAATTTAAACACAGAAGGGTAAAACAAATTTAGACAAAGTACGGTCAAATACATTTGGACACAGTATTATCAAAGAAATTTAGACACATAATGGTCAAAGAAATTTAGACACATTACGGTCAAACAAATTTGGACACAGTATTGTCCAACAAATTTGGACACAGTATTGCCTAACAAATTTAGGCACATGATTGTCACATATATTTAGACACAGTATTGTCTAATGAATTTAGACACAGTATTGTCTTACAAATTTAGACACAGTATTGTCAACTCAAATTTGGACACATTATTGTCAGACTAATTTAGACACAGTATGGTCAAATACATTTGGACACAGCATTGTCAAACAAATTTAGACACAGTATGGTCAAACACATTTGGACACAGTATTGTCAATCAAATTTAGACACAGTATGGTCAAACACATTTGGACACAGTATTTTCAGACTAATTTAGACACAGTATGGTCAAACACATTTGGACACATTATTGTCAGACTAATTTAGACACAGTATGGTCAAATACATTTGGACACAGTATTGTCAGACTAATTTAGACACAGTATGGTCAAACACATTTGGACACAGTATTATCAAACAAATTTAGACACAGTATGGTCAAACAAATTTAGACACAGTATGGTCAAAAAAATTTAGACACAGTATGGTCAAAAAAATTTAGACACAGTATGGTCAAACACATTTGGACACAGTATGGTCAAACAAATTTAGACACAGTATCGTCCAACCATATTTTGACACGTTGTTGACCATTCATAATGGTTGTCGGTTGTTTTTGTTGTATGGAGACGTTGTTTCTTGTTTGACAATGAACTTTGGACTCTCCCCCCTCCCCCCCCCCCCCCCACCCCCACCCCCCCACACACTCAGCCCATCCTTTCCTTTTGTTTTCTTCTGTGTTTCTTGTTGGTTTATTGCTTAAAAGTTGTTTTTTTTTTAATATATATAAAAAAAGACCTGTATTATTACTTAAATGTCGTTATTTCAAACACATTCAACAATAAAACAAAATAATGACACTGTTTTCGTAAATTTATTGTTTTATTTTTAGTTTCATTTTTTAAAGTTAAAAATTAAAAACAACAACCCTGTATTATTACTTAAATATTGTTGTTTCTAAACAAATTTAACACTAAAACAAATAATGACACTGTTTCCTTTTATTAATTTATTATTATTTTTTTTAATGTAGTTGGTGTTGCAGTAATAAGTGTTGCAGTAAACAGGTGAGAATTGGGTGGCCAAGCGGTCGAAATTATAAGTTCAATGCCAAAGGTCAATGTTGTGGACTGGACTTCAATCCCACGGCAAACGCCTGGACGAGCCAATTCATCACCAGCTGCGAGCAGCCTCACGTACAAGCAAAGCAGGCAACTGCATTGAGCGCCACGGTCTAGCTAAGGGCTTCATTTAAATACCACCCCCCCCCCCCAATTTATAATTTTTTTTTTTTTTTTTTTTTTAAATTAGACTAAAGTTACATAAAATAAGCTTTACACTGATGAAGAATATGTGGCTGTTGCTTTTTTACATCCAAAAAGGCGTATAAGGTATAAAAAACTTGTCTATAAAAGTGAAATTATTGGACAAATCTGTTAATTTTTGTGTGAGTTTGCCTGTGTTTGAAAATATTAATGCCATTTATTGATCATAAAATTATCATGGAGGGCATCATCCTTTTCTTTAAAACTCATAACAACACATCGAATAAAAAGACCAACGTTCAGATATGTTTGGTTTAAAAGAAGGGATATTAATCAGTAGGACACCTCCAATTCCAAACTTGTATTGAGGGCTCTGTGTTTAAGTGAGCTCTTCATTGTTTACAGAGAGCTTGGCGATTGAAAAATTGTTTTAAAAAAAAAATAAATAAACAAGTTCATGTTTTTCCTTTCTTTTTTTTGTTGTCCTTAAGTGTCATAGTAACTAATAGAATTATTATGAAAACGTGATTCATTAGTTATACCTCATTGATACTTGATTTATTATTTACTTGTATTATTTATATTTAGGTTAAATTAGTTCTGGTTCTGGTAATGTTTCGTTGCTGCATCCATGTACTGGCATTTTTGCAACGGTTGCGGGTATGATGTTGCTATCCTAACAGCTCCTAGCTGATGCCAGGGCAGCCTTGAAGCTTTCGACCGATGTCGAGTTCACTGTTGCATCGTTCAGGTTGTTCCATGCTATTATTGTTAGTTTGCATACTATTACATTCATTAGAAAAACTAATTGTCAAAGCGAATTTAGAAAATGAGAAAAAAAATAAAAAATTGGTTGGTGGTGGTGAGCGTTGGTGATTAAAACACGTAGTAATAAGGTCGTTTTCGTAAAGGAAGGTTGAGGTTGTGACACGTAGTAATAAGGTCGTTGTCGTAAAGGAAGGTTGAGGTTGTGACACGTAGCAATAAGGTCGTTGTCGTAAAGGAAGGTTGAGGTTTTGACACGTAGTAATAAGGTCGTTGGCGTAAAGGAAGGTTGAGGTTGTGACACGTAGTAATAAGGTCGTTGTCGTAAAGGAAGGTTGAGGTTGTGACACGTAGTAATAAGGTCGTTGGCGTAAAGGAAGGTTGAGGTTGTGACACGTAGTAATAAGGTCGTTGTCGTAAAGGAAGGTTGAGGTTGTGACGTCATGATGACTGCATATTTTAATTCAATTTGTGCCTATACTAATTTTTATACTAGCCAGTTTGTCAACTTGGGTTCAACCATTTTGTCAACCTGGTTTTAACCATTTTCTCAACCTGTGTTTAACCAATTTTCGAAATGGGTGTAACCAATATATATATATAAATATATATTATATATATATATATATATATATAATTACAATGCTGTACTCTTTATGTGTGTGTTAAATTTAATATTTTTATCTTTAAAGTATTGGACCTATTCACTTGCTGTGCTGTAAGTTGATGTAGTTTTTTTGTTTCTGTATATTTGAATTTTGATAGAAATGTAATAGTATATTTAAACTGACTATTGTTAATATCACTCCAGCCATGGTATCTTTTTTCTTTGTATTCTGGTTTGCAGTCCTTTGTTACGTTTTTCTTCATCCCAATCTTAAAACAGATTAAATTTTTAAACCATATCATGGTACGTAGCATCTGGCCTCGCTAGAGAGTCAGGCTCTTTCCCTTTGTGACATCCACGTGTCCAATGATCTATAAAAGAACCACTCTGCTGCATTGGTCTGGACGCACTGGCTGTAGTCAATCATCAGCCTTACACTACCAAGATTTAGCGTTCTCGGGAGGCTTGCAGCGGCTCCCCCAGGTCTTGCTAACCAGTTTTTTTAAAGCTAGGCTTAATTTGGACTTGACACGAGCACCGCGTTCTCGATAACGGTTATGGAGCTAAACTTTCTGGTTCAACTTCACTCCCATATAAGTAGTTGTCTTGTCCCACTTGAACTTTTCTCCTTACATGTGAAGAGTTATTTCTTCTTCGAGGTCATGCCTCCCATTAGTAAACAAAAAATGCACTGTCTTCTCAGCATTTACCACCATTTTCCACTTTTAATCATGGGTCTCTATTCTCTTGAGATTTCCTGCAGCTGGCTCTTCAGCAGCTGAATGTGTGCCAAGGTTCTGACCTGTTAGTGTTGGTGGTGGTACCGGACTAGTAAGACCCAGTGAAGATGGTCAAAGCCTGAAAAAAAAACCCGGCGTCCTACACCGAAGAACACAAGTCTCCTTGGACGAGGGGCTCAGGTGACGCTTACGTCTGATCCCAAAGGGATGGAAGCAAACTGACCAGACTCTGAAGAACAATGGCAAGCTTTACTATATAGAAAAATAGATTCAATCTTAGATGTGCTTTAGTTTCAAAAGCCATCAAGTGAGGTAAGTTAATAATAATTATAATAAAGATTATTTCAAAATCACGCTTCATCCCCAAAGGCTCGAAGCGCGGCACATACCACATTGAAGTACAAAATGCAACATTACGAAAACTACATACGAGAATAACCATTCTAAGTCTTTCATAACCTTGCAACCATAAACAACACAGACCAATATACATCTACAAGATAATAGCTAGATAGACAACATCACCCCAGCTGGTGTTTGCGAAATAGATAAGTCTTTAATGAGTTTTGAAAGACACCGGTGTCTGGCTTTTTCTGAGAGTAACAGGAAGGGTGTTCTGAATTGTTGGGCCAGCAAATGCGAAAGTTTGCCTCTTGAAAGTCTCAAGGCGATAACGTGGTATCGAGAGTTTGCCACTATCAGATGAGCGGAGTTATCTAGGCGTCAGTAGCGCTTTCAGATAGGACGGCGCCAGTTCATGCAAGCAGCGGTAGCACAGAGTTGCAACTTTGTACTCTATGTGAGCGCGGACCGGCAGCCAGTGCAGCTCTCTCAGAAGTGTTTTAGCATGGTCGAATTTGCGTTTTTGAAGAAAAATGCGAGCCGCATTATTCTGTGCTTTTTGAATCTTAGCCAGGAGCGTAGCCGGAAGACCAACCATAAGTACGGACAACAAGTAAAATTAACGTTTGACAACTCTTAAAGCCAAATTATTGTAAAAATTCTTAGCAAATCTTGGACTAGTTTCCCGTTCCACTGTTTGGGCAGGGTGACGATCCATTCTTGGAACAGCAAAACCTCTCGAATATATATATATATATATATTTTTAAATAAGTGATAGAAGCAGGTAGTCGAACCAATACTGAATGGGGATTTCACTTGCACGATCCGCAACGTTATTTGAGATTGATATTTTAATAAAACTCATTACAAAAAAAAATTAAACTTTATAATTTGAAAATAACCTTACGATTTTTTTGTTCTGTTCACTTAATAGACTAAATGTTGTTTTTGCGTCACAAAATGCGTAGAATTCCACAGATCAAAACTTAATACTTCAATAGCGTAAAGTACTAAACTAAAATGTCAATGAGAGAAATAATGGAATAATCAGAATAATCCCCTTTTAATGTTTTAGAATTAATTATTTAAGGAGGATAATCTGCTCATGGATGATTGCACTTGATTATTTTAAATTTTAACAAAAAAAAATTCGTTAGATAAAACAAATAAAATAAACGTATTTAAATGTTTTTAAATATTTGTCCTACCCGATCCGGACGCAATAATTAAATCAATATTTACATGCAATTATGAGCATTCTGTGTCTTTTAAACTGATTTTTATAGCTACAAAACAGCTCCCATATTATCTCTTGGTACTGTGGCATATCTATATCTAATAACCCTGTCTGTATTAATGTTTGCTTTATAATTAACGGTAATTTGATGACAGTTTGCTTGCACTTATCATACCGGCGAACACTTACTAATTATTACTAATTATTTTACAAATTTACCAAAGTAAATTGATTATATTATGTGTCAACTGTCTTAAATGAATCGAAATTCAAAATCTATGGAGAAAAAAAAATAAAGGATGAATTAGTAGAGTAAATGAGTAATAATAAAACACATACACAATAAAAGCGGTTACATTAATTATTGACGTACAAGATATGGTTTAGACTTAATGATAATATAAGGTTTGACACACAAAGCGCTAAAATCTACACTACACTGAGAAAGATGAACCAATCAGTGAACACGGAGGCAGAAATTATAACCAATGAGCTCACTTGGCTCATCATAAAGATTCTCATGTTCGGCGTGACGCCGGCCATCTCCGTGTTCGGCGTCGTCGGCAACATCTTCAGCATCATCGTCCTGATCAAACGAGGCATGAGGAAGTGTTCCAACATCCTGCTCGTGTCACTCGCCTTCTCGGACATCACGTTTCTCATATCGTTCAACAGCGTCCCGAAGATCATCTACGAGGCGGTTTGGAACCACGAGTACGTCGGGTATTCCCGGAAGGACACCGACATTTTATTTATAACTTTCAATATTTTCACCGTGTTTGACTATTCCTTTGGCATGATGGGCCTGACGATCCCGATGCTGATAACCTTAGAACGTATTGTGGTCATCTTCTTCCCTCTAAACTTTCGCCGCATCATCACCCCAAGAAGAACCTGGCTGTCTGTAGCAGGCGTTGCAGTCTTTTGGGTGTCCGTCGTAGCGCCATCTTGTTTCTGGTTGGAGGTCTCGTTCACCGTTGATCCCTACAGAAATATATCCACCGGAATTATCCAACGCACAACTTCTTATCATCAAAACTTAGCTGCCGTTTCAGCCCTCGAGGATCTCATCATATTTACCTGTTACGTCATTCCTCTCGTCTTCACCGTCCTCGGATCTCTCGTCATTTCTGTAAAAGTCAGGGTTCATTCGGCTCAACGCAAGAAGCTCACCTCTGGCAGAGGTTCGGGAAATCGCACCACCAAGACGCTCCTGGCGGTGTGCACGATCTACACCGTGACGACGGCCTTCTACACACTCCCGCTGTACGTCCCCCAGTACGCGTCATCTTCGCTGACTGACGAGTCGCCGACCAACATGGGGAAGATCTACTACCAGATCGCCAACATCGTCCTCTGCGTCAACGGCTCGAGCAACTTCGTGGTGTACGTGGCTCTCAACAAGACGTTCAGGGACACCTACAAGGGTCTGTTCAAACGGAGCCGGAGAGAGATCGCAGTGAGACAGTTTAGTGGTTCGACCTAGCTCTAGATGGTGTAAGGTGGGCGGGGGCAAGGACGGTGGGAGAGTCTTACGTTGCGACGATATTATCTGCAATGCCCAGAAGGAGCTGGTTGCCAATGTACTTGCCGGGGCATTTAGGGCGTAAGCTCAACCCCCCCCCACCCCAACCAGAATGTGTGTTAGTTTGTAGTTCGAACCATCCCTATTTAGTAGAATAAGTTATAAGTAATACTTTAAAAAAAAAGAAAACAAAGAAATTATTTTAATGAAAGAAAATTAATTGTCTTACAAAAATCTCAATTCATCACTTTTGCTATATTAAAAAAAAAGATGACCTTTGCCATCATTCTTAAAATGCCATTTAAAAAAAAAATAATAGTTTACCTTGCATGAGTAACTGCAAGAAAGAAGTCTATTAATAGCTATGGTGTATAATCAATATCCACATTTAGACTTTCGGAACAATTATTGGCGATACATTTTTCTTTCTAGGATTAAAGTTACATAAATCTGATAATCTGATCAGGTACATTTTTTTTATATGATTAAAGTAATATATATCTGATAATCTGATCAGGTACATTTTTTAATGATTAAAGTTATATATCTGATAATCAGAGCAAGTATTTTTTTTCTACCATTAAAGTTACACATGTAAATCTCATAATCAGACCAGGAACAATCTTCTGCTCTGGTCGTAAAACTCTTTGCACTTTAAACCAAAAGTACCAATGCTTCATCAACATCTTATTTTAATGTATCTGTTTATTATTTTACACAATTAAGGTACTGAGCTTAAGTACCAGTGCGTCGAAGATGATAAAACATTGTCAAATTAATTTAATACATTCTAATGACCATGGTACCAAACAGTCAGGTGACCGTTCATTTGAAGCACTTAGAATACCAATGAAGTTGAAAAGAATAGGTCCTCATTGGTTTTCAAGTGTTGTATTTATTGAACAGGGTGAACTATTCAAGTGTTGTATCTATTGAATGGGATGAACTAGACAAGTGTTGTATTTATTGAATGGGGTGAACTAGTCAAGTGTGGTATTTGTTGAATGGGGTGAACTAGTCAAGTGTTGTATTTGTTGAATGGGGTGAACTAGTCAAGTGTTGTATTTGTTGAATGGGGTAAAATAGTCAAATGTAGTATTTGAAGAATGGGGTGAACTAGTCAAGTGTTGTATTTGTTGAATGGGGTAAACTAGTCAAGTGTTGTATTTGTTGAATGGGGTGAACTAGTCAAGTGTTGTATTTGTTGAATGGGGTGAACTAGTCAAGTGTTGTATTTGTTGAATGGGGTGAACTAGTCAAGTGTTGTATTTGTTGAATGGGGTGAACTAGTCAAGTGTTGTATTTGTTGAATGGGGTGAACTAGTCAAGTGTTGTATTTGTTGAATGGGGTGAACTAGTCAAGTGTTGTATTTGTTGAATGGGGTAAACTAGTCGAGTGTTGTATTTGTTGAATGGGGTGAACTATTCATGTGTTGTATTTGTTGAATGGGGTGAACTATTTAAGTATTGTAATTGTTGAATGGGGTGAACTAGTCGAGTATTGTATTTGTTGCATGGGGTGAACTAGTCAAGTTTTGTATTTGTTGAATAGGGTGAACTAGTCAAGTGTTGTATTTGTTGAGAGGGATGAACTATTCAAGTGTTGTATCTATTGAATGGGGTGAACTAGTCAAGTGTTGTATTTGTTGAATTGGGGTGAACTATTCATGTGTTGTATTTGTTGAATGGGGTGAACTATTTAAGTATTGTAATTGTTGAATGGGGTGAACTAGTCGAGTATTGTATTTGTTGCATGGGGTGAACTAGTCAAGTGTTGTATTTGTTGAATGGGGTAAACTAGTCGAGTGTTGTATTTGTTGAATGGGGTGAACTATTCATGTGTTGTATTTGTTGAATGGGGTGAACTATTTAAGTATTGTAATTGTTGAATGGGGTGAACTAGTCGAGTATTGTATTTGTTGCATGGGGTGAACTAGTCAAGTGTTGTATTTGTTGAGAGGGATGAACTATTCAAGTGTTGTATCTATTGAATGGGGTGAACTAGTCAAGTGTTGTATTTGTTGAATTGGTGTGAACTAGTCAAGTGTTGTATTTGTGGAGTGGGGTGAACTAGTCAAGTGTTGTATTTGTTGAATGGGGTGAACTAGTAAAAGTGTTGTATTTGTTGAATGGGGTTAACTAGTCGAGAGTTGTATTTGTTGAATGGGGTGAACTAGTCGAGAGTTGTATTTGTTGAATGGGGTGAACTAGTCTAGTGTTGTAGTAGTTGAGCGCTTAGCCAAAGTTAATCGGTCGCTATAACGGAAAAAAGGGGAGTGGGAGGGCACCATTGTACACAAACAGAAATTCTATGAACGTTTTGCATCAGGCGTAATATCCTCCTCATTGAATATCCTCCTCATTGAATATCCTCCTCATTGAATATCCTCCTCATTGAATATCCTCCTCATTGAATATCCTCCTCATTGAATATCCTCCTCATTGAATATCCTCCTCATTGAATATCCTCCTCATTGAATATCCTCGTCATTGAATATCCTCATTGAATATCCTCCTCATTGAATATCCTCCTCATTGAATATCCTCCTCATTGAATATCCTCCTCATTGAATATCCTCTTCATTGAATATCCTCCTAATTGAATATCCTCCTCATTGAATATCTTCCTCATTGAATAACCTCCTCATTGAATAACCTCCTCATTGAATATCCTCCTCATTGAATATCCTCCTCATTGAATATCCTTCTCATTGAGTATCCTCCTCATTTATCCAGGCGTACAGCTACCAAACAGTCCCGATTTTAAACCCAATGGACCGTGTCCTACGAGCAGTTCTGAAAGAACGTTACAATCGGCAAACTGTTGACCACAGTTGGTCAGCTGACGTTGGCATCAGTCAAGGCCGGGAGACTACGTTCTCACCACTTGTTTCAACGAAGCATAACTCTAACGGTACCAACCTTTTAGGGAAAAAAAAGGAGTATTGAAATCCAGGGAGGACATATTGAAAATACTATCCAATTATTGACATTGTTTAGCATAAAACTGTGAAATTACAAAACAATACCCATTACATTGACACAGGCTCATACAGCTAAAAAATAAAATACATATTTTTGCGATTATTAAGAAAATTGCAAATTATATTTTGTTTCCTTTTCTTTACCATCGTAATTTGAAGGTTTACCTTGATTTTCGTAATTTAAAAATTGTTAACAGTAAAATTGATGTTTTTTCTTTAAAATAATCAATATCTGCTACATACCGCTCAGTGCCACAATGCTTTGTTGTTGTTTTTTTTTTTGTTTTTTTTTTATTGGTTCGATCATTCACAAGAAAATAAAAAATGGATCACAGCCAAATTTGACATTGTCATTTCTTCTGACTTATGGTTCCTGGAAAGTTTTGTTAATATTCGCCATATCTCAAAAGCTGTAATTTGTTGTTTTTTTAAATCCATAAAATATAGGGGGTAAAGAGTAAATGAAGAATTATATTTTTAAAGACTTAAAGAGACGGCCAAGCTAAGTTATTTTTGGTGTACGCACCTTTAATCGGGCTTTATTCACAACGGTGCGCTTTCATTAATTTATTAAAGCACAACGGTGCGCTTTCATTCATTTATTAAAGCACAACGGTGCGCTTTCATTCATTTATTAGAGCACAACGGTGCGCTTTCATTCTTTTATTAAAGCACAACGGTGCGCTTTCATTCATTTATTAAAGCACAACGGTGCGCTTTCTTTCATTTATTAAAGCACAACGGTGTGCTTTCATTCATTTATTAAAGCACAACGGTGCGCTTTCTTTCATTTATTAGAGCACAACGGTGCGCTTTCATTCATTTATTAAAGAAAGTTTTCGTAGCTCATTTAAAAAAAACAAATCTATTTACTAAAAAAAATAAAAATTGAAATAAGTTTTTAGAAATATAAGATTTGGTATTTAATACAATATTTATCTTTAATTTCGTGTTGCGCCATTCTAATCAACTAAAATGCATCGCCTGCTACAAAGGGTGTTGAACTTTAGATATAGAACTATAACATTGCTCAAGGACGTGTAGTTAGGGTACTCTGACATGACTAATGTCTTACAGCGTTTTTAAATTAATTGTGTTTAGGACGAACTTTATTGACTAGATATGTGCAGGGGATTGGAGAATCGTAAGCTAGTGATTTAGCCCCCAATGGGCACTTAGTAAAACGACGCCACGCACTGAATGGGCGGTTGCGTTTTCTGATCCCAGCAACGTCTCAAACGCAACACTTGTTGCACGTGTAACAATAGCAGTCCATAGTAGATTGGTCTTTTTATACATCAAAATTATTGACACGTTTTACATTCAATATAAGCTTCTTAAAGTGCGAAACGCAACAAGTTTATGTCAAGTTTTTTTTTTTTTTATTGGCATCCGTTAAAATGATTACGGTGGTGTTACATTTAAGATAAGATATTTTTTATTGATCCAAATATATGGAAATTTGTTTTTTCACATTCATCGTACATATTTCCCCCAGCCCTTGAAATGTTTGTTTGTGTTTTCCGTTGTTCCTGTAGCAAGACATTCGCCATGTCAGTGTGCGGTATGAATAACTCTTTGAGTTCTTGAGAGAGAACAGTCTTGGATTTTTATTTGAACGAGGTTTTCTTCTTCAAGATGGCGGGGACGCCTTTTGTCTGTATTCGATTTGTCTTTAAATAGTTGGTCGAGCTAAACAGTCTTCAGTAACTGTTCTGTCACAGACCCGGTCATACTTTCTTAGCCCTACCCCCCCCCCCCCCCCCCCCCCCCCCCCCCCCCCGCCCCCCCCCCCCCCCCCCCCCCCCTTCGATTTGTCTTTAAATAGTTGGTCGAGCTAAACAGTCTTCAGTAACTGTTCTGTCACAGACCCGGTCATACTTTCTTAGCCCTACCCCCCCCCCCCCCCCCCCCCCCCCCCCCCCCCCCCCCCCCCCC